TCGCACTGTCGTTTCTCCGTACTTGGCAGCAAGTCGGTCGTGAAACGTTACTGTAACTAAATTGGATATCATCAACCAGAAAGGTACAAATGCGGTACAAGGCAACTGTAATAGCACGGCGCAAGGAGTTTCAGGTTGTTTAACGTGTTCCGATAACAATACCTCAGTGGACACACGTTCAAGATAAGCGAATCGAACATACTCACTTGTGTGGTGTGTGCCGCTATGACCGTAATTATGGGCACGAAATGTGTCTGTACCGAACAGCACGTGCGGCATCCGTCTCTTCCGGAGATGAAAGCATGCGCTTGCATTTCCGTGTGCACCAAGTACACCTATTTTGGTCGTAATCCGGAGCCGAAACCAATTTTCCCGCTATACCGTTCTCGACAGACATCCAAAATAATATAAACAAAGCGGAACATTTTATTTATTACAATGATTTTATATTATGACGTTATTTTGTGCACTTCATAGAATTTAGTGAATTTAATATCACGAAAAGTTGAAACACTCACAAACGTGATCTGGCAACCATGGCAACGCTCCGAATCTTTCCGAATTTTTGGAAACGCTTGAGATCCGGCTACTCTTCCGAATTTTTCCGAATCTTCAGATTTGGCTCCGAATCTCGATTCGGACAGAGATTCGTGCCATCACAAGTGAGGATTAATGTGTAAAATGTTGGTTGTAAATTTGTGTATCCGTGCCGTAATAGTATTGTAATCGTTTTTTTTATATTTGAGAAGCCGATAATATAGATATAGTAATTATGTTTTTAAAAAAAGTTACCGAGATTACCTTTCCGGGTCGGTTTCAGACGATAACAAACGTGGCTCCTGCAGAGTACTGAACGAGCGTAGTTCTTGACCAGGGCGTAAGATAGACAGGTGGGGAAAAGAGAGCCAAATGAGTGACCGCATTGTGTCCCCCTCGGTTTTCTCTTTTTCTGTGGCGCCATCTATGTGGAGCACCGCGAACCCTCACTCCGGGTGGGCGACCGGTGTTGACCGGCTAAAACTGACGAAGATGGTTTCTCGTGGATTTTCAGTGGTGGACTGTCGTGCTCTCGGTCTCTTTTGCGCACTTTCCCATAAAGTTCGACGCAAATCCGATTCCGAATTTTTTTCCTCTCGCCGCAGCGCCATCTGTCGCAAGTCGGGGGTACCCGCAAGCAGACGAGTACACAATCCGGTCACGGCGCTGCGGTAGGCTTCTATGGGCCGTTTCCCCACCTGTCTATCTTACACACTGCTCTTGACTGTGATCTAGTTATTTTTTGTGAGTGCGTGACGTTTTGACTTTAAATAAGTATTTAGAGGAAGATCTCGTCGACCGACATAGTATGCGGCAAACAACTGTCTCAAATACGTGCCTTCGGGAGCGCTGTGCGGATGCTTGGTTTCGTAGCGGGACTGGACTAAGCCTAGCTTCCCACATGAACAATTTTGATTGATCTGGCTTGATTTCGTTTTTGGCGCGTGTTGATCCGGAATAAAGGTATTGGTTCCTGTAAAAGCGGCACCGCTGCGATGTGAATTGTGCAACTGTCGTGATTGCGGCCATTTCCTGTCATTTTGCGTCGAAAGGCAAGTAGCTCTCTAATTTTGCAGTACACCTGCCCCAGCCTAAACAAATTACTTGAAATCACGTTTACAAAAAAAAAAAAAAAAAAAAAAATCAAGAACGTAAAAGTTGGAGTGGCAGCCATGTTGGTAACAGTAATTGAACATGAGGAAGATAAATAGAAAGGGGGAACGGTCAACAAAGACTTCCAAGTTTTTGTTGTCCGTGCCCCCTTCCTATGTATCTTCCTCATGTCTAATTGCAGGATATTTTTTTTTTGTTCTCTCGGTGGCTTTTTACCGCACATCGACAGACGGTGACAGTTTCAATTGGAGCGTCGCTGGCACATGATGGAACGCTAGCTAGAACGCCTCTTTCATGGTCGAGTCTTGCGAGCGTTGTAAAAACTTTTAGACGGAGCGGAAAAGCAGGCGGACGAAGGCCGAAAACGGACGGCGACGGGCAGCGTTAATGTCCGCGTCCTTTGGGCATGGCAGATGACGATAGAGGGTGGTGAAATAGTAGACGATGCCGGAGGCTGCCGCACGTCTGCTCACACAACCAGGCACAACTAGCAGGCGTTGTCAGACGCCAGACTAGACGTGCCGGATGTCGGGAAAGGGAGGCACCAGGCTTGTTAGCGTGCTCGGCCGAGCAGCCAAGCGAATCCAGTAGTAATGGACGAAGCAACTGATTTGTGGGCGAGGCCTAGAGCGAGCCACGACCTCCACCTAAATTGCGTCTAACGGCGTAAATTTTGCGAAAAATGAAATTGTTTTATCGTGGAAAACATACAAAAAAGCACACGTGTCTTAAATGAGAATACATTTTTTCTTTCAATCACAGTTGTCTTTTTGAAGGCCGACCTACCGAATCGCTTTCTGCCGGAAGAAAACTGTTTTCCAGTTTCCTTCTCTCCATTTCCTTTCGCCCTCTTCTCTCCCCACAAAAGCCAATTTCTGGGCCACTCCCAGTTCAAAGGAGGAAAGTCTCCGCTTCTCTTGAATGGAAAGGAGGTATTGGGGGAAAGTTTTCTCCCTTTTGGTTGCTCGTCAGCCTATAAGGTATTGTCACGCAAAAAACCGAGCAGATGAATGTAGAACTTAATAGGCAACTCCGGTGAATATTTTTTTTAAATTTTGGATAGCCACTGCTTTCAGTAGAACAGTGTCCCTAAACCACAAAATATAATCCCCCCCCCCCTTTTCCAATATTGCGTGTAGTTTTATAAATATCACGGCTCAAATTTTGGTTTGGGGCGTCTACGGCGAAACCAAAACTATCTGCGAAAGAGATGGCAACACTGATCATCACCCGTACGGCCTTGACGTGACGCCACGAGGGTGCTGCGGTACGCGGTACAACTAATCAACCGATGGCAATCAACCGAAGCTCCACCGCGACGTGACGTCACAAGGGGGCTGCGTCAGTTTTTCTTAACTGAAAGCTAGCCCGCTTTTGGCTCCCGCCAAAGACCAGCTGGTCGCATCTTTAAAAGCAATTTTAATGCAGTACGCGGTTTCACTTTAACATAATATTTCGTGCCATTAAAGCAACATGAGTAACTTATTTTGGTTTTGTTTTCGACCGTAATTGCCCTTTAAGATGAGTATTTATGAGCCCGAAATTGCGCCAACAAACTAAAACAGAAGCTGTGAAGCGTCCTGCGTTGGCGGCGGAAAGGGCAGCTTTCCTGAAGCAGCCGTGGCATTACCGATGCTTTTAAACATGCGGTAGGTTCAGGAGTGTTCTGAACCAGAACGGACAGTGACAGCCGAGAATGGCCTGAAGCTCCCGAGAAGATCAAAAATGGCTAGAAGAAAGAACCGGGCCGAGCTGGGTTCGAACTTCACTCCTCGCTGTGTTTGCGTTGACAACTTCACCACGCATGCTTTTCTTTTTCTTCATTAAAAGTTCGCCACGCACAATGCAATCTACAATCGACAAGTCGATTTCGCCACCCGGCTGCGCGAATCTGCAAGTGTAAACGCATGCACCGTTAAGGCCGGTTCTCACATGCAGCGAAGCGCTAATGTAGCGCTCCTCACGTGCCGTCAGCTACTTATCGTCTGCCATGAGCAACAGTTTTGAGGGTGCGATACAAAGCTGGTGAACGCTCCCGTCAGCACGCGCTTAGCGCGAGGTAAGCGCTATGCTGGTAGCGCTCTGCTGCATGTGTGAACAGGCCTTTAGGCTCTCGCATTCGAAGGCGTCTAGCGCATTCGACGAATGCAATCGAGACAAAGGCAGCTATAGCTTTAGGTCTACCCACTAATCATTCGCGCGCTCTCAACTCCTCATCTCCCTAACAAAAATCGGTGCATAGAAAACATGACTTGTCCAACGCGATAATACCGCAGGAATTGTCCGAAATTTTCGGGCTTATTTTTATGTAATTGAAGTGTGACGAAGTCCTCACCTTTGACCTTTTGTGATTCGAGGAGTCCTTCTTACCTTTTCTTCTTTTGATCCTGAGAACACAGTCATTCCCAGTCCCATAAATCCTAAGCCAGAAATATTGTTCGAAAGAGGAGGCTGTTGTTGCATTGCAATTTATTGAGAATGTGCCGATGCAAAAAAACAAATAAAAATAAAATTGAACACTTTCGTTTTCATAGGCAGTAACATCATGGGAAACGTGCCTTTCACTTTACTATAATACATCTGAACTTCCAATTTCAACATTCGATCTCGGTTTATTAAGTTTCTACGGGTCTAAGGAACTGTCGGACTGGGGCTTTTCACTTTATTTACCGAGAGTAATGATACATTCCGTCAATTTTTTATAGGAAATGGGTTGATAGTATAGCAGTGCTTCATGCGCTTGTTGTACCGGGTTGGTATACTGATCAGCCATGATGCAATCTGCAATAGCTTAAGGTTTGGTTTCAAGATTCAACGGTTTTGAGGTTCTTCGTTATCGTTGGGCACAACGCTAATCTAGATGACGGTGTAAATTTATCAATAAAAAATGAGCCATTATATTGCTTTCAGATATTACAAACTTCCATGTGAACACTCGATCGCTTCGAAACAAGGCCTTAAAAAAAACAGTTACAGTCACTCACAACTGAAGGGTCGCTGAGTGTTGCGGGTACTCCAGGGTAACTCATTATCGCACCGCAACCAATCATATTGCAGCCTTGGGCGATAAGAACAACAGAGACCAAATCACGAAGTTGGAAACGTGAACTCATTAACCATTTTCCTTCGTTTCTAAAGCTGTCATCGACCATAGCAAACACTATATCTACAGGATCCAGACGGCAGGTTTGTTGCTCGATAAGATTGAGGGTGCTTTGTAATCTTCCCGTTGGATTGTTGTGTGTCGTCACCCTTGTTTTATGTGTGATGTCTGATGTCTAACTATACAGGATGATCGGTTGACTCGATCTCCAACCGAGAAGGCGCTGCCGTGGGTGTCGTCGTTGCCACTACGAGGTAGAGGTTGAGTTTGTGACTGGGAGGACGTCTTGCGGCGCATTGTCTTCGCTGACTTCAGCTTCGACGTCGTCGACGACCTCTAGAGGTCCCATTCTCGGCATGAAGCTGAGCTGCGTGATGCCCACGATGTACCCTGTGCAATGAATGATTCAAGCGATTCGGCTATAAGTGAAACCGATCTCTTGCTAAATGCCTTTCTGAAATTTAAATTTTAAAACACCATGTATACTATACGTGGACAAAGCTGGCTATAACTTTGACAATCGCTCTGGCGCCGTCTGCTTTGCGCTTAGCAGATGACCAGATACGGGCGTGAACACCCACTGGAAGAGCAGTTATTCTCCGGCAGGAATCGGAAAGTGTGATACTTCTCGCAGAGCATGTATGTGGCGCTGGGAACACGCAAAAAGGCCCCCGCTCGAGCGTTATTTGACAACGAGATATTTCGGTGGTTCCCTCTGATGGTTTCTATCTGTAACGTCACCACCAGGATCATCCATTGCCAACGACAATTTCGACGGCGTGTTTAAAACGAAACCACGGCGGAAGTTTAGATTCGTCTCAGGTCCTTACACCAGCACCTTCAAACTTGGAAGTCTGACGCTTTTCTTGTCTCCATTAGTAAACGTAGAATTCCCCATACTCAAGACCCCACAGTGAGCGTTTTGCCAGTCGTGGAAGGTCGGCCATAGGGATGGCTTTCGGTCACGGGCGTCGCAATTGACGGCTGCGTTCACGTCAGAACTCACCAGCGACCATTAAGACCACTGCTTAAATTTCACACCCCGCGGTTGGAAACAAAGTATGGCGAACGCACTCGTAGACACTGTGTTCAGTATGTTTTCAATAACCTATCGGACTCCTTGCTATTATATATAACATCGGAGCAAAAATCTGCGTTACAAAACTTTGAGCAATGATATATATATATATATGTATACAGTAAACCCCCGTTAACTCCAAGTCATAAAAACCGGAAGAAAATTCGAGATAACCGAAATTTCGAGATAAGCGAACTGCCAAAATTTCCGAAGTACCCATCGCGCATTTCGGAAAATTAGCGCTCGTTCACTTCTGGCCCCTCTGTAGTTTTCTCCCCTATGCTTATGCATTTTCAAAGTATCTTGTAACTGTTGTTCTTTAATCGTTTATGTTTTCTAACGAGTTCAACATCTTCATATCACTCATCGTAAGTGTGTAATTTTAAAAATGTAAGCGGTTTAAAACGGCACACGTCACCCGCAATATGACTGGCTTTGCCACTTGCAGAGTGAGGTGCACAAGCCTTGAAAGTCTTAGGCGGCTCGATATTGTGCTTTTTTTAAATTCCTACGCTGCAACTAAATATATTCTTAACTAATCTTCATCTAAGCTCCGACATTTAGCAAGAATTCTAATATAACACCGAACACTTTATGCTTGAATGAGCCACTCAGTGACGCTATGCATCGACACCAGTTCTGTGCAAGCTCAGTATCAGCGAAGCACATGGTAAAATTCTCCAGTTTTTACAAGGTGAACTTCCACCGGCTTATTTGGGCCTTCAGTGGTCTCTCGTCGACCTTGAATTTATTGAGGCGATGACAGGACCGGCGTGAAGCCAGCATTGTGAGCATTGAAAGCCACGCTCGACGCATTTAAAATTAAGCCTATATAGTCTCGTCGTCATGTTCGCCGACGGTCATTAATTGTGCGGTGTTTCAGAATATCGTGTCACGTAATAAAAGAAAAATACTGTTAGATCTGAACAATGCACAACCATTTAAACATTAACGGCGCGGAGATAAAGTAGATCTTCGTATTTTCGTCCCTTTGACTTTGCTGTTTACTAAACTTTTAAAAAGTCCAAAATGAGCTTTTGATAGATATTCAGGGTTGGAAAACATGACTAGGATTGCGACCAAAATGCAGTTTCTTCTTGGATTTCTGAGGAAGAAATTAGTTTCTCTTGCTTTTCTGAGCAGAGTGAACAAACAAGAGACGCTCTAACGTTTTTTCTTTGTTTGTTCATAGCCTCTACGCAGTTTACGTTTTTTAGTCAAACTGTATTTTGCGCCTCGTCATTCGCTGAACGCGCTCTTTAAGGCAAATTCATTGTCTCGCCGCGCACCTTAAGGAACACGCACTGGCATATCTTTAAAATGCATTATTACCGTAAAAAAACACACACAAAAAAAAAAACGCACGGATATACTCGGTGTTTTTGCGAATAATTGCCGAAATTCCTACCAGTAAAGTGGTTGAAAAAAACATTTTTCTTTCAGGAAGAAACTGTCAATCACAATGGACGTCGAAAGATTAAAAAAATAATACAAATTAGCTAAATTAACAACTAAAACTTAATGATTAAAATTTTAATTATTCTACCAATTAGTATGTCTTTTCTTTTCGATCCTTCATGTCTCCAGTTGCTGGCAATTTGCTTCCGTAAAAAGTTCCTTTTTTTTCTTCTCCTGTTTCCCAAACTCCTCTTGGTAGGAATTTTGAAAACTCTTTGAAATCCCTATAAACTTTCCGCAAACCGCATCACAGTCCTTGCGTTTCATGAGGCCATTAAGTGTATGCGGCAATCATGTAATTTTTATGTTATACAACGTAAAAAAATGAAAGTTAAAAACAGCCGCAAAGGACGACAGAATGACGTCATCAGCATTTTTCCTAGCGTGTAACGGAAGGTATGATGTAAGCCCCGGTGAACGACTTGCCTTCTTTCACTGCGCCCTGGAAGTTGGCGCTGCAGGACTGCGGAACAGAAACACACACATGCCGTTAATGGTCGCACCGGCCGTGCCTCGGTTTCGTAACAACTCTCCGCGCACTCGTTCGAAAGCCATTAGGAATCTGTTGGTCTCACCTTTGTGAAGAACTTGAAGATACATTCAACGTAGACCTTGTCCTGGGTGGGAGCAAGCGGGACGAATAGAACGGCAAATGGGATCAGTGGTGACGTTCGAATAGAAGGTGGGCGACCGTTAACCCTGGTTTTACAGGTCGTGCGAACTCGCGCTACGATCTAGGCTCACGCTGTCAAGTTCAAACACGTACAAACTAAAAAAAAAAAAAAAAGCTACGGCGACAGCCGAGGCCGCTGCACAATCTCCTGCACACAAACCTTACACAATCACGCTGTACACTAACCTTGATATCATGTGACATCAGTGTCACCGGAGGACATGGTGTCGCGTGATGTCATGGCGCCACGTGACGTGGGAGTATCACGTGGCATGAGATTAAGCTGTCCCGTTGCGTCACAGTGGCTGAGACGGCATGGCGTGACGTGATTTCACAGTGACACGTGACGCCACGTTACAGAGTCATGTTTAGCGGAAACTATTTTGCCTCTGAATCGGGCGGAGAAATTTCCCAGCCACGACGACCCTACAGGAGACAAACCCGGGGTCCGTTACGAAATCAATACCAATAACGGATGTCAACGTAAAGTGACGATGAGTGTGCTAAGTGAGTAGATTTCGACTTTCTCATAAGGTCAAAACTGGACCATCGTAGCGAAAGGACCCCCAAACATATTTGGAAATTTACACACAGTGCTCTCTCCTCGAGGCTTATTTACATGTCATATAAATCTAGATTGATCAGAATTTTAGGTTATTTCAATGAGAAACACACATGATGCCAACATAATCGGTTTGACTAGCGCGGCACGTAGCAAGCAGTGACCTACCTGAGTCTTGTAGTCTTGCTCTTTATACTGGAAGAAAACAACAACAACAACAACAAGAGAAATTACAACATGGAAAACTCGTATCTGAGAAAGAACGTCATGACGCAGGCCCGCCGCGACTCTGCCTCACATTCAACGGCGGCGTGAGAATCGCTCGACGAGATTCAGCGGCACACTCACCGCTTTTGCAATGCAGCCTTTGTGAGCTTCTCGGGTTCCGTTCATTGTCTGGTGGAGGGAAATAAGAACGGGGAATTTCATTAGTGCGCCCGCAGGCGTTTTGAATGTGAGCCGTCGCCCGGAACACAATGTCTCTGCACGGGTTCACTAATTGGAGGCCCGAGGCAACGAACACTTCCTAACGCTGCGGTCCTCTGCGGTCGTCATCTTAAGGGCTTCGTATATTATATTCCCCTTTCAGGCAGCGTGCGTATATGCATTTATGTATATCTACGATTGAGAGGGGCTGTGGGGGGAGTATACCATTCTGTGGGGGATTATGTAAGCAGACGGGTATGCCTGAGGGTAATCTTTGTGTTGGATACGCAAGATCTTGTGCTCTTTTCCTTAGACCGCTTTCGAAATTTGCGCTCTGGTTGTTTGGGGGTCTGAACATGCTGGACGATCGCGGAAGCGCCCACACCGTGGAGGATGTCAAGCTAAAGTTATTTTTTATATCAGTAAAGTCAAAGTTGTAGCATTTGGGGGCTTTCAAAATGGCGGCAGACTTTATTTCGGTATCGTATTAGCGCGGTATTGGGATTGTGGTTAGCTTAAGTGGTTTATTATTTAGAGATCGATATTTCTAATGAAAACTTGGGATGTGAACAAAGACCAAATAGTTCCACACGATATTAAGATGTCTTATGACGTTTAGCGTTCAACAGATAAAACCGGATTCTTATGAGTTACGTTTCCGCAAACTTTGAACCGCGCGTCCTGCTTTACTCGTATACTGTCTGGTTCACATTAGTTCACATTGGTGTGAACTAATGTGAACTATCGTGAACTTCGCATGCAGCACGGGAATGTTAGTTGGCCTTGATTGGAATAGGGTGCCCCAATGACAATAGTTCACATTGGTGTGAACTAATGTGAACTTCGCATGCAGCACGGGAATGTTAGTTGGCCTTGATTCAAATAGGGTGCCTCAATGACCTTCTGTTTAGAGTGATGCCACCCTTTGTAATACCCGCTGCGGACAGCACGCGCTCACGGGGAAAATACAAACAAATCGACGAAAGCAAAATGTCGCCATAGCACACTCAGCGCCACAGGCGCGTGCAGAGACACGCTCTTTCACGCGCTTCTGAACAATAAATAAATCTAAAAGTGGGAACAAAATGGCCAGATGTCTTCACCCTAGGCAAAGCGCACATGAAGGCACCCTAGATTGGAAAGGTGGCGTTCTGTGCGAGTCGTTAGACTGTTGGGTGGGGTTTAGACTGGCCCAGGTGACAAACTCAGAAATGTGCAAAGAGAAAGAGAGAGAGGGACAATGAGGGAAATCAAGTAGGGGTGATGAGTGTGTCGTGTCTATCTGTTCTTTTTTGTCCGCATTTTTTAGAGCAGTAGGTTAGCGATGAACAACGGGGAACTAGCCGAAATAGCTACCTGTTGAGCTCCATGCATTTGATCGGGTTTACATGACGTGAGGATAATCCTCAATTGACGGTAGCGACGTATGTCCTACTGCCCTCGACAACCGTAAGCTAAATACCTTCCCCCTCGTTACGTGCCTTCTTGTTTAATCCTTTCACACACGCGCACACCAACATATCTATTCTGTGTGTGTGAATAGGGCTGGGAGAGTTTTCCTCTTGTTTTTTAAGGGTCTCACCTCATCGTCTAGTCCAAGAAGGCTAAGGTACTGGAGGTATTTGCTCAGGTTCATGTTGCCGTTGCTGCGTACCTGTTGATAAAACAAAGACGTGTACAAATAACACCTACTAGTTATCGAAGGCGGTCGATGATAAACGTAACAAAGTACCCACTGGAAGTCTTAGAGTAAAGGCCGAATATCGGCTAAGAGATTAGCTTCTTTAGGAATTAGTCTCTAATCCACCAAGAAGACAAGATATTTTTTAGCGAAACATTGGCTGGCACCGCTTCGAGGTTTCCAGGGTGGTCCTTTTTAAGCACGTATTACGTCTCTGGGTCTCCATGGCCCGTGGACGAGCAACAAAGCCCATATATAATGATCTATCAAAAGCGATAACACAAGAGTTTAAGCTCACCCATCCTGTGCTCTTGAGCATGCATCTGCTCAGCCTGGGCAGGTATTCCTATAAACAAATAAACATGACTTGAAAAGCAAACTACAAGGAAGGCTCTAGAAACGAGGATGCAGAAGATCAGAGTGATATATCTCGTGTGTGCTCGTCTTTGTAGCTTTGTTTTATTTTTGGTAACAATTCCAGCAAACTTCCATCTTAGTATTTGACTCGGAAGGCCCTATCTCATGAGAATAGAGTTTTCACTGTTGCCATGGAGGTTTTGCATTAAATAATATTTACACGCGCAGGATTGCCGGCTCCTCGCCCATGCGGTCACTAGTTTTGAAGATCATGCCTGCGAAGAGGAATTTTTGTAGTAACAAACACCATTCTTTTCTTTGGTACTTATGCGTCAAAAGACCAATCAGTACATACAAGTACGTGCATTCTGGTGCTTACTGCCTGACTAATTTAGTCATACTAATCAATTATGACTAGAAAAATTTCGTACATAAGCGAGGAAAAGGCTTGTAGACGGGATCTGCTATTCGATAAAATTACGTTCGAACATCTGTTTTGGAATTGGAAGCTTGCGTACTGCTGACAATCCATGGACAACCAAAACCAAATAATCGATAGTAGCAAAAGACATTTCATGAGTAGATTTGCGAAAGGTTACCTCAATATCTTGAGGATGCTCCGGCAAGTGTTTCTGACATTTCACCCATGTTGTAGGGTTGCTCATCTGAAAAGACAGAAATTATTTTTTATATTATTAGAACTAGGGGGTTTATAGTACCAGATGCATGGAACACTGATAAAGACATTGCAACGCCGTATTTACGAAATATTGGGAAATTTTTACAAGCTTGATTATGTTTTTGTAAGCCAGTTCTTAGATTCGCTGTATAATTTGAATCCAGCTTCAACCATTAAATAATTTTGATAAACTTATCCGCAATAAACTATTAATTTTATTTACCAGTTCTTAGTTTCGTTATACGCATAACTTAAGTTGACCTTCACATATTAAATGATTTTGGTGAAGTTTTTCGCTATAATTACGCCTCGTATTACAAGATGTAAACAACGCTATAGTTTATATACTTTCTAGTATGCGTAGGTTGTGCCCTTTTCTGATTGTATTCTATTAATTTATATAGTTACGCCACATCATGTGTCATCTTGGGCTTATGGTCAAAGAAGGAAAGTGGTGTTGATCCCGAATGTAAAATAAAATGTATTTTGACCAACAAAGCATCATGTGGACGCGGGTCAAAAAGACGTACATCTTAAAAATACACATAAACACAGACACACACGCACAAACACGGGCAACAATTGCAAGTAGAAGGAAATGCGATTAGACTTGCCTCGAAAAAATGCACCTAAACAGGCATGGAACGTAATCTTCACAAAAAGCAGGTAGGTTGAATAAGGGTTAGGATAAAAAAAAACTGAACCTGAGACCGGGGTAAAATAGAAAAACAAAGAAAAGAAAAAGAGTGACAAAACGTTTCCTCTATTTTGTGTATTGAACTCTTTGAATATTTCATTTTGCTTACTCAATTACTTAAGACTGCGGTTGATTTGAATCTTCCTTTCCTATTCACCATTCAAAAATCACAAGCATACCTGCAAAAAAAAAAAAAAAAAGACTAATACAGTCAGAAGGTATCGAACGTTTGGATGTGCCAGTTCGATGTTTGCATCATTTTGTCTTGTTATCAGTGTTTTAAAGTTTAAAACAATTAGTGTCATTTTTGTTGTTGTTGCTGGCTCTTACCTCAGGTATTACCAGAGGATTTTTGAGAGGTTCACAGGCTCCCCAGTTGGAAGAGAAGAACTCGTGGATCTGAAACAATGGAGAGAACATTCACTTAATCATATTTCTACAAAACAAGGCCCGATTGTTTAGATAAATTTCCGACAAAGCAGATGGTTCGTATAAAGTTCGCGCAATAATCTTACGAACTAACGTAAACCTAAGAAGGCGAAGAATCGCACTTTGTTTTTGGGGGTAACGACAAACATCTACGAATGCACCTCTTAAACTGTCTTACGATCCTACTACACAAAGGTACGCGCCTGTGACGGGAAATGTTAATAGTGGTACGAAAAATGCATTTAGTAGTGCTAATACCAGCGATGCATGCTGCATCAGCAGTGCCCTGGGTGTCACTGTTCATAAAGGGAACACTGTCCAGAATGCTGAGCGAAGCACCATTGGCTGCTAATGAAGCTACTTTGTATTGACCCCC